TTATCTTATGTTGTAGTGAGTCAACTGGAACTCACGCAACCCCCCCCCTACCCCTCCTCTCTCTCTCTCTCTCTCTCCTGTTCTGTGTGTTATTTATTTGCAAAATAAAGCGCCCATGGGTTGGTAATTTTGACATGGTGTTTCCATTGATAACAATTTCCAAGTGATTAACCTGCCAAGCAGAATCACTGGCCCTTATTTTTTTCTTTGGCAGGATACGTGTTTACGAGAGGAGGATACGTGGAATTGTCAAAAAAGCTTTCTCTGCCCTTGGGTTTCACTCTAGACAGGTAGTGGGTCCTTTTTCTAGCAATAAAACAATCTCCACTAGCAATTCTATATGTGTAATCTACAGTTAACATATTCAAAAAAAAAATCTGTGTGTAATCTATATGCATAATTCGATGTGTGATCTGATACTGTGTGGAACTTATAATGTTGATGTACTTACACAGCAACAATATTAAGATGCTTTGGGTACTTATGGCATATTCAGTGTTATTTGTCTGACTTCTAGGAAACGTAAGGCTGTTATTGAACATTTATCCATCTTACTGCAGATACCGATTAGACTCTTCTTTACCTCTTTTACTCTTCTTTGCATTCTTCCATTTGACTTGACCAAATCACCCCAAGCGCACCAAATATTCCCAATCTTTCAATTTAACCTCCATTCTTCCAATTTCATATTTAATCTAGACGTCTTTCTTTTCCACGGGAAACCTAATCCTAATTTATATGTTCCATGCTATCTGTTTGATATTACCAATTCTTCTGAGACGATGTAATACTCCCAGTTAATCATCAATACACGGATGTATGACACTGTTTAAGGCTGCTTATTTACTCCAATATGGCTTGTCCAGGTATGATGGTTTGGTTTTCTCTGTTGGTGGTAATGGGAGATCTTTTGCTATAATACTTGAAGCTGGTCCATCTGCTGATACTTCCCAAAGCAAGCTGTACTTTACTCGAATGAACACAAAAATCGGCTTTTGCAGGGTTGGATATTTGCCATATGTCCTTGTTTATCCATTGTGTGAATTAAATTGAGATACATTCCTAAGGGACACTATACCATAATCCAATGAACTACGGAAAAGTGATGGAGAGAGAGTGGAACCTACTTGAGCATGACAAGGCTCCAATGCTTGCTTTCCCCTGCTCTCCATCATCCTCCATAGTTTTGATGGACGAGGATGATGCAGTGGGCTTTGGTTTTTCCATAATCTGTTGAATTATAGTAAATTTTCTTGTATCTTAGTTCACCTAGTTATGCTGTACACTGATACAAGCCTTCTTTTTTTTAAAAAAAAAACCATACTTCTCAATGCAGGTAAGGGTGCCGTTTTCTGCTTTCCGTTCCGCGAAACCAGATGACCCACCTCTTGACCCTTTTCTCGTGCATACTCTGACTATACGATTTGAACCAAGAAGACAGGTTCCTCCCCTACCCTAACATCAAAATATTAGATATACAAGTGTTTAATTGTTTAATATGGAGTATCTTCCACTTGAATGTGTACTTATGCATGAGAAGCTTGCCGCTATTATCTTTCCTATGGGTTTGCTTGCAATGAGTTGGGAAAAATACCCCATAAAGAGAAAAGGCAATAGTGCCATGACGCTATTTGATAATGAAAATAAAAAGTGGGGTCTAGTGAAAAGTTGGGGTTTACATGATATATTGTGATTGGATTTTGGTGCTCCCTAACCCCTAGAGTTGATCCCTTCCCAAAAAAAAAAAGAAAAAGGGTATGATGCAACCTCCCAAAAGTGTGTCTGAGTGTACCATAGATGTACTTGATTATCTAGCCTTGTAAAAAAATATTGTGACTCTGCATTTTGCTTTTCTGGTGTAGAGGACAGTAGAAGGGATGACTGGAACTAACCAGGACCCTAGGAGCTTCAATCTAATTTTGGAGTACATAAAGGCCTTACCAGTAAGTTCTGATCAACTGTTATTATGAAAATGAAATAATCACTGATAAACTCAGTCAAAAAATTTCCACTTGGCACTTTACTGGAGGTCCAGTCCAATTTAGGAGGTCATGTATAGTGAATTAGTCATCATTGAGTGGGTTTCCATTATTCTTTTATTTGGGCAATCGAAACATTGGTTCTAATCTCAAAGTTTCTTTGCAATACTATTTCCTTTCTCTTATTGAACAAATTAAGAGTATTTTTGCAGAGTGGTCAAGAAACAGACTTCATTTTGGTTTCGTGCACAGGATATGGAATAGAACCAAACAGAAGGGAGCAGGTTCTTAAAGCAAAGAAGGTTGGTTTTTACTGTCATTTTTATTGGGTTTCCTATATATGCATAAAGGTTCATTTCTCTAGCTGTGTAAACTGTATATATGAATTTGAACGAAAACACTTCGGCAGAACGAACAGGCTCATATATCTGGTAGAGAATGAATTCAAATAATTGTATGAATTGATTATTCAAATGATTTTAGTTTCTGGGCATAGGTTGACATTGTATGAATTGATTGTTTGAATGGTTTACCAACATACAAGGGACTTTTACAATCCTTTTATGATTAAAAATATACTTGACTGTATGTTAGCCAACAATTCTCTCTGAAATGAGAAATTTCAATCACTGATGAGACGAGGTTTATTTCTTGATATTGGGTAGGCTGGAGAGGATTCATTGAGAAGATCAGGGCTTGGATACACCATTATTCGTCCTGGCCCATTGAAGGTATGACAAATATCTCTCTCTCTCTCTCTCTCTCTCTCTCTCTCTCTCTCCCCCTGTGGCTGAGACTGATGAGAATTTCAGGAAGAACCTGGAGGTCAGCGTGCCCTTATCTTTGATCAAGGGAACAGGATTTCTCAGGTAACCATCCCCGTCTTCTATAATAAGGCATTTGATATCCATTGCACATATCTCTAGTTACATTCTCCATGCAGGGCATCAGCTGTGCTGATGTAGCAGATATATGCGTAAAAGCATTGCATGATTCAACTGCAAGAAACAAGAGTTTCGATGTACGTCTACTTATTTTTTAGTTCTCTGAAAATTCTACTCTCTCTTATTAGTCGTGGATTTCTAGATTGTCAAGGGGAATAACTCCTGTAATTTTGTGTCGACAGGTTTGTTATGAATACTTTGCAGAACCCGGAAAAGAGTTGTATGAGCTGGTACGATATGGAATGACCCTACATGTGTGTGTGTTTTTTTATGTGCTTGTTTAGATAGATACATAAGACAGATATGTAGATAGATTGAGAGAGAGAAGAGGGGCGGGGCGATGTGTGTGTGTGAAAAGTGTACAATAAGACCATTTACTTTTGGTATAAGGAGGCCACAATCACTCTTGGCCATTGCATTTAAAATGGGATGGCTAGAGGTGTGCCATTGACTAAGCTAAAGTCCAAAAGAAAATTTCTTGAACATTTTGACACATCCAAAGCTATCGGATTTGACATCCAATGGCTAGAGGAGATTGTGACCTCCGAAATCCAGAAATTAATGGTCTTATAGTATATAATCCCATATGTGTGTATGTGTGTGTGTGTGGCTGTGTGTGAGTGTGTGAGGCCCCCAGCATACAAAATATTATAGTCCTGATGGCTAAGATTCAGTCTGTAAGACTTGGATAATGCTGGGTAGGTGCACTATTGCATTTATATATATATACATATATATTACAAATCCTTATGACTTGAAATTTTCCTGGGAGCTTTGCTTAATATAGCGCACCAAAAAAAATACAAAAATCATATGCTAAATGTTTTTACCAAAATGTCCCGGTCCCTGTCAATGAACAGTGATCGTCGATGGTTCAATGTGGACCATCGGGTCGCAACTATTCCCTAGCCCCCAAGCTCACAAAATCTCTATCCATAGAGGAAGAGAGAGATGGGTATTAAATATTTTATGGATGGTGTTGTGATACATCAATTTTGCAGGTTGCTCATCTACCTGACAAGTCAAACAATTATCTTACACCGGCTCTTTCAGTTCTGGAGAAGAACACTTGAAAAGCTACCCAACAATCCATGTAAGCACATTATTCTCTTTGCTAACACTGGTGGGCTTCTCTTGTAAAAAATTATAATGTATCAGCTGTTTCATTGGTTGCTGGTCTATTGTAATTCAATCATAAGTGGTTTTTCTTTTCTCTTGTAAATTAATAATAATTTCATTGGCTCTCTCTCTCAATACTCTCGGCGGCCCTTGGTCAAATTGCAAAAAATTAACTTTCCAAAAATAATGTGTTTAGGATCGGGTTCTTGTGTGTCAGCCAATGCACCTATCAGTTGCGGCTCTTTCGAAATTGATCTTAGAGATGGATTTTGGACCTAAAATTCGTAGATCAATAATATCATGATATCAAACTGAAAAGGATCAAAGGATTTGAGCCTCTTTTGTTTTTGGACTGCTTATCATCGCTGATTTGAATAATCCGATCTGTACTATTTTTGGGGCTGCAAAACCATAGATTTAAAGAAGAAATGCATCAAACGACTTAAGATGTGTTGCACTATGAAAATCATGGATCTAAAATGGAAATGCATTCAAAATAACTTGGGATGTATTTCATATCCTAAATTTATATCTATTGGAAAAAATTTATATAAGGTTGCAACCTTATAATATAGAGCTACGGATGCACATCAAAAATCCATCGGAAAAGGTAGTTTTAATGTTGAAAAAACCCTTTGATTGATCATCTCGACGATGTATGACCATGAAAATAAAAAGATTTTAAGTCTCAGAAATAGTGCATTTTACAACATATTATCTACACCGTCATTTTTCAAGATTTTCATATGTTTATAGATCTACTTGATTTTAACCATTTTTGAAATTTAAAATTTTATAATTAGATATAAAAATAGATTTTGAGACAATCCTAAGCACATTTTACATCAAAATTATATACCACGATAAAATTTGAAGGCGCACCTTACCTCTATAGCTATGGATGCATCCGCATGCCAATTGCACCCATCTCTAATAGGAATTTTTCGAAGGGATTGCATTTGAATAGGATCTCATATACAGTTTTCTGTGTATTAATAATGAGAATATTTGTAGCTACATGTCTACTGGATTGTGTCTATTCTAGATTCATTTGTAGCTACATGTCTACTGGATTGTGTCTATTCTAGCTTGCATTTGAATAGGATCTCATATACAGTTTTCTGTGTATTAATAATGAGAATATTTGTAGCTACATGTCTATTCTAGATTCATTTGTGAAAAGGTTGAACCTCACACTCCAAACCTTTTCTCTCTCGACTTCCTCGGTCCCGAATCTTTTTCGAAAAATTACAACCAGAGATTAGAAAATGCCTGCTCATGCATATCACCAGGCTTGGATCTTGGACAAGAGAGAGGGTAAATATACACCAATATGTGCGGTACATGGCACACTACTTGACATCCATCTTCATTTCTAAAGGCTGTGTTTGATAACCGAGAAAACAAGATGAAAAACTCCAAATTCTCCCCTTAAAATTCACCATAAAAATGGATTTTTTCGGGATTCATCATCTAAGCCAAGCTGATCATAAATATGAAATTCTTTTTCTTTTTCTTTTTTAATTTTAAATGTGCTTTTTTTTGGAATGTTTTTGGCACCGTTCATATTTTATTTGACCCTGTGCACTTTACACTAACGCCCATCTTAAAGATGGACGTTGAAGAGTCCGTGGGCTCTTGCACCCGCTACTCAAAAGTGCACTTTTCTAACTAGGAAGGAAACTTTCCCGAATATTTCCTCCGCCCTCGGGAGTATACTATCCGTTCACTCTCTTGGGCAAAACTTATACTATGCGTATCTTTAAGACCTCACTCTCAATGTGCCTTCGAAAAAATGGCATTCTAATGTTTCACGAGAACCATCCAATTTTTCGAGGGAATGAACCAGATGTTCTAGAACTCAAAATCTAAATTTTTTTTTCTTAGAAAATAATCATCCAGCTATAATTAGATGGATCCCATAATTTCAAATGAAAAAATCTTTCAAGTAAGTGTTTAGCCCAAGGGAGTAAATGTACATTATACTCCTGGGGGAGCATAGTATACAGGCTAAAAACTTTTCTAAGCTAGCTTTTTTATTTTCTCTTGCCCTAATAAAAGGCTTCCATTATAAAATAAAATCTTCTATATATAAAACATGAGCCGTTGTCAAGCAAGAAATTATCTTAAGTTTGGAATTTGGGTTGGATGGACAATAAAGAGACATTATGGATGAGAAGAATAATTAGCAATGCCAATCAATAAATAGCATATAAGATAAGTTCATTACATAGGTCCATTCACTATTGCATATAAATATGAATGGACCTATTACATAGGTCCATTCATTATGTGCCCAAGGGTGCATGATCTCACCACAAACTTCTACCAAGAACTCAAATTTTAAATGTTGTCTTTTTAAATTACATTTTTTAAATAGATCATCATATTTAGCATTCATAAAACACTATTAATAAATAACCAATATGTTTTTACTAAAGATAATATGCTCCTTTACCATTTTTTAAGGGTGTGGTTTCTATAAGGTTGCAATCTTAAACAATCCAATTATGGTGCACCTCCAAACTTTGTCATAAAATGCTATTTTTATGTTAAAATTCATAGGATTATCTGAAAATATATTTTCATATCTAATTATAAAATTTTAAACTCTAAAAATGTTTAAAATCAAGTAGATCTATAAACATATGAAAATCTTGAAAATAAACGGTCTAGATAATGTGTTGCAAGAGGCATTATTTCTGGGACTCAAAATCCTTTTTCTTTTCTTTTTTTCCATATTCATACATCTCAATGTCGAGATGATTAATTAGAGGGTTTTTTAACATTAAAATAACCTTTTCCGATGGATTTTTCATAAATATTATAAAGTATTAAAAGGAGCACAATAAAGTTGGATTTTTATATAAAACATCCATGTTTCATATGGAAATGGTTTCAAGAGTCCACGGACTCACATGTAGATATGCGGGCTCCTTAGTAATTAATTTTTAAAATGAAATTTAAAAAACTAGAAATGATTTTAAAATAAAGAACTTATTTATTTTTAGTCTTGGAAAACCACAATAAAGAACTTCTTTTCTTCAACTTCTAGGTCATGTAACACTCATCACCATTTAAACTCCATAATGAAACAATAAATATAGTTTAAATAAATCTTACATTCATAACTTCTTTAGAATAAATTTTACAAGAATTAAGTGGGTAGTACAACATAATGCCACCACAAAAATGATGCATTGCATTGTTCCGAGTAGTAGTTTAATTAAAATTAATAAAAAGACTTACCACCAATCTTTGAAAGGTATGCAAATGGAGTTGGTGATCCTGTGTTCAATACTAAACGAGATTTTGTGGATGAATCAAACTTCAAGGAATAAAAAGATGTACTTCAAGGATAATCAATAGGTGAAATTGTAGTTCAACCATTGTTTTTATTTATGGGGTTTAATTGATTTTTATTAATTTAAAAATATTTATCGAATTATAAAATTGGAGTCATGTTTTTCTAAATCAGTTTTGAATAAATTTACTAATCTATTTATATTTTTTAAAATAAAATTCACACAAATTGAGCAGATATCACAGCATACTACAACTATATAAATAACACATTGCATTGCTGTAAAATTAATTACAGTCAAACCTACAATTTAGTCTAGCAAAACCACAATAAAGAACTTTTTTTCAACTTCTAGACCATGAAACATACATGTCCATTTAAACTCCACAATAAAACAATATATCCAGTTTAAATAAATTTTACTTTCATATTTACTTCATTAAAATATACCAATTTTGCTCTTGGAGCGGAATGTTGGGCGGACAAAAAATAATATACCCATTGAAAGAGTATAGTATGTATGAGGATGTTGAGATGGATGAGTGGCAAGACATGAATGAATAGAATTCGAAATGAATCCATTTTGGAGAATTTAGGTGCGGCATCAATAGGTGATGACATGAGAGAGAGTAGATATAAAGGGGCTAGCCATGTGTAGTGGTGACCAAGTACAATACCTGTTAGGAGGTGGGAGTTAGTTAAAGTGGAATGACCGAAAATAGCAAGCGGTATGCCCAAAAGGATGTGGTTGGAAGTATTCCAAAAAGACATGGGGACTTATAGCCTCATTGAGGGTATGCTCTATTCAAAGCACCATGGCGGACCATGATTCATATAGTGGACCTCATTTAATTGGGAAAAGACTATGATAATGATGATGATTAGCTTTTTTAAAATAAATTTTACATGCGTTCAGTGGGTAGCAAAACATAGTGCCACCATAAAAATGATGCATTGTACTATTCTAAGCAGTAGTTTACCTAGTATTATTAAAAAACTTACTGCTAATCTTTGGCGGGCATCCAAATGGAGTTGATGATCCTGTGTTCAATAATCAATGCGGTTTTGTGGATGAGTCGAACTTCGATGAAAAAAAAAAGATGGTCTCTAAGGATAATCAATAGATTAAGTTGTAGTTTGACTATCATTTTCATTTATGAGGTTTATATGTAGTTAATTAATTTTATAATTTTTATTTATTATATATTAAAATTTATTTAAAACAATATAATGTACAATTCAGCATAAAAATTATTGTATTGTAAATTATAATTGTATAAAGTTGTTAATTTATCTATTTTTAATATTTTTAGCTCAAAATATCTATAACAAAATTACTTAAATTATTGAGTTATTAATTATAACTTATAAGTATATAAACCCTATAAGTATATAAGGTATACATATGTATTTATATATACCTATAAGTATATAAGGTATACATATGTATTTATAACTTATACTATAACTAATAGATTTAAAGTTGATTAATAAATCTAATGAACTAAAAAAACATAATATTAATTACACAAAAACCTACAATAAGGTGCGCAAGCCCACAATTAAAAAAACTAATATTTTTCTTCTACTACACAATGAAAGCATAAAGTCCTTACGTTTATGCGTAATATATATTCCCTTTAAAATCCATGATGAAACAATATATACAGTTCAAGTAAATTCTTCATTTATTTTGACTTCTTTAGGATAAGTTTCACACAAGCTGAGTATGTAGCACAACACAATGCCAACACAAAAATAACATATTATACTACTATAAAATTTATTAAAAACAAAATTACAATATAGCCTAACAATACCATAATAAAGA